ATAATAATAATAATAATAATGATAATGAGAAGAAGAAGAATGATAATGACAATAATGAAACCGATAATTAATGATGGTAACACTAAGAAATAAAATTAGAAAAAAAGGAAAACATAACTCTAAAAATTAAGTAATTTCTGTATTGCTAGGTATTTTTCATAAAGAAACAAAAAAATAAAAAATAAAAAGTAAAAAAAAAAAAAACAAGGCAGAAATAACAAAAGCTGAGAGGTGAGAGAGAACTATTCTGTCATTTCCACACCTCTTACAATCCTTTCAACAGCTGTATAGACTCGAGTAATAATTTCTCTGTATTTTTTCTTAATCAAAACTCCTAATCAAATAATTGTTCCTTGCTGTATACAGTTGCTAATAATGTACCGTAATAAAAATTCTGTTTTCTTTTTTAGTATATCACAGGATTTAGTAGAAAAAAGGAACACATGTTAGGAACTTGTAAAAAAAAAAAAAGAAAATTGACATCTCAAGTGTTTCGCAGGTTAAACTTGCACTGTGCAGTAATAAATTTTGCTGTTGTTCTCGTCGTTGTTTAACCCGCGAAACAACCTCATCTCTACTTCACGTATCATATTTTCAGAAAGTCATTAACAAAAAATAATAATAATAATAATGATAATAATAATAGTAATAACTGTAATGTAAAAAAATAATTATGAAAAAAGAACTATGCGAACTGCAAAAAATAGGAAGTCAAAAATCCGTTGTGAACTTAAATTTCAGTTCAACAACTATGATCGGCACTGATAACATGGGTTGTGAACATGTATTTGTCCCCACAAGCGTGACCACAGAGGTTACACTTCCACGGATCCGAGTCGGAGTGCAAACCTTTATGCAGCAAGTATAATGTTTGATCCATGAAAATCATCCCGCAGTTGGTACACTCCTTAAAGAATGTTTTTCTATGAGCTTGAATACTACTAGCAGAAATTTTGGAACTGCTGTCGCTACTGTTTACAGAACATTTTAGCTGACGATGAAGCCATGGCAAGGAGATGGAGCAATTATAATTCCATTGAAAACGGTTACTTGTTGTTCTTTGTCATTGGTTTCCCCATCAATAGCACTGCTTCCGCTGTCGACTGACGGTGAATGTGACTGCTCATCTGTGTTCTCAGATCCGGCATTGCTTTCTCTTGTCCACAGCTGCATCGGCTGTTCATTTTTTGGCTCCTGCGAAAGCATCATTGTGTAACAAACTTTATAAAGCTGTGCTCTTACATTAGTGACAAACAATTCATTCATTTTCATAAAGAACAAAAATATTTCACTGCAACAAATTCCATACTTACATTTGTGAACAGTGATGGAACTGCGTTATTTGACAGTGACATCAAGAGCTCTTGACTTGACATATAAGGCGTCTAAAATATTATTACAAGTTGGCATGTTTAGAAAACTTCATTTTAAAGGTAACCAAATGGCAATTTTTCTTGAAATAGTTGAATGATCGCCGTACCTGTTCATAGTCTAACGTTGGTGTTGTCTTCTCGTTAGACGATGGCAAAATTTCCTGTTTAATAAACTTCAACTGTTGCAAAATGGCAGCAGGAAAATTGTTTGCAACATTGTTTGATCTTCGTTTCTTTGGTGCTGGGGCAATAAATCCACCGTTGTTTTCATTTTTGACGCAGTTTTCAAGCTTTATATTTGGTGACATTGCATTTGCCACGACAATTCCAGAGGTCTATAATTTAATGTGAGATAAAGATAGTGAAAACTATTTTCACAAATATTTATCCAGAAATTGAAAATAAAAACGAAGAAAAAATTTTATAGTAAAACAAATAAAACCCCTCACATCGCCTTCATCATGTTTTGTTTGGTAGTGCAACAAAAGACGACGAGAATTAGAAAACATCAAAGAACATCTTTTGCAGGATGCTGGAGAATTTGGTCCAATAGTGTGTGCTTCGTCTAAATGTGACCGAAGGCTTGCATGCTGACTGAACTGTTGCTCACACATCGCAACTGGACAATCAAAATCAGCACCTGTTTTGATGTGTGTCATCGAATGTTCCTGCATCTTAAAAGTAACAACTTTTATTCATCTTTCAGTTCTTTTTTCAAGGACTTCTATGCCGCCAAATTAAAATGTTCCCTCCATCTACCAACAGAAATAAAAATTTGCCTAGATATTGGAAATTAGCAAAGTCGAGAAAGATGGAAATCCTAAGCTTCATATATGGCTTGATAAACAGTGTTCCAAAAGGTTTGTACAAAAAATGTCATTCGAGAGGTTAATCAGTCAATAAAACAAAAAGCTATTAAATTATATTGGACTATACTTGCAGTAATCTCCCTTCAAAGACAACAAATTATTACTTGATCTTTCCTAAAGAAACGTTTTAAGCAATATCTGCACTGGTACGGTTTCACTCCGGAATGTCGCATTCTGTGCCGATGCATATTTGCTTTCTGGCTGAATTGCATTTGGCAAATATCGCATTGATACATTTGACCCTGATGTCGTTCGTGAGCTTCCTTAAACAAACATGTCATCAAAAAAACTGTTTTATATCGCTCAATCTTTTCGACTATCAACAGTGAGTGAAATAGGAGGACAGACAAAGAGTTTGAGAGAGGGAGCAAGACAGAGAGGAAGCGGAGAAGAGGGTGGAGGAGAAAAGAAAAGAGGGACATTTTCGGAATAACTCTCATGTCACACTTTTATCATTGCTGCTCTACCTTTATAACGCACTTCAGCTTACCGCTATTTTGTTTTTGTAACCGATGGTTTGCTCTAAGTACTTTAAACACTTTTGAGCAGTCTTGCTTATACAAATTTTCCACAATTAAAACCACTCCTTACTCCGTCCGACTGCTTAGTAATGATGATGACAACCAAGGTGATTAAGACGATAATGATTAAACGAGATGTTCCAAGAAATTCACAGTACTCCAAAAACCAAATCATATTGTTATTGAACAAAAAGAAGAACAATGAAAAATAAAAAAATGGTAATAATACTAACAACGTTCCAAAATCCTTCATACAACAACTGCATAAAAATTGATATTTTTATCAAAAATATATCGTTAAAAAAATTAAAAAAAAAATGAAGAAACCGAAATTAAAACTCGTTTGAAATATCTTTCAACACACTTCTTTTCCACCTCTAAAATTTCCTTATTTTTCATCTTGAAAACCATCATCACCGTCATCACCATCATTCTTCGATGCACCTACTTTTCGCCGAGGTCTGTACATATATTTGTGTGCATTTAAACACATATATTTACTTTCCTTGTCTCTGCCTTCTAAACAGACTACTCACAAAATAACAGTTAGGAACTACAACAAAATCAACAACAAAAACAGCAACTCTTCGCCATATGTCAATAGCTACAGAAAGGAGGAAAAAAGTGTTTTAGAAGTTAAAAAAATAAGAAAAACAACAAAGATCAAAAAAATAAAATAAAATAAGATAAAATAATGTATATATTCTTGTTAGTATTACCAGGTGACTTTTCATATGCTGCGACATAAATGTGGTAAAGTTGCAATGAGGACACGAGTGAGTTTGTTTGCTCGCCTTACTCGGCGGATTAACTTCTGGGAAATTCAACAACGACAGCGACAGCACCGAGGAAGCCGGTGGCGACTGCTCAGGAGACAGGTTTGGCGACGAAGTTTCGTCAAGGTCATCGTTCCATTCCTAAAACATCGTCTGTGTGTTCACCAGCGATTATTATCGACCATTACAGACCGCATCCTTGAAACATCCCCACATTTTTGCACTCTTTTCTCTCAATCGAAATTCATCATCGAACTCTCATCAAATACTCGAACCAAATCTTTTGATACTTACTACCTTCCTCAAAAAATGCCCGGGTTTTCTGGACAGACATTTTAGAAAATATTTTCAACCTGTTTTCTTTTCCTCTCTTCTTATTTTCTTTTCTTCTATTTGGCCACATCATCAGCACACATAAACAAATCCCTCCTATACTGTCAAATTTGTGGCTTTTTATACAGTATCCAACAATAACAACCATAATAATAACAACAACAACAATTACAAGACCCGTAGCTTATTTCTGTA